TTTCTCCATCTAAAACGTCTGTGAAATTCATCCCAGACAGAATTCTCTTCCAAAGACCCAAACGATGAGGGAAATCTTTGCTACCTGGACCTTCACTGCATTGCCTCCATCTCAAATTTAGTTTTGATCACCTTCCTCCATATACTACCTTGATCGTTCATAATCTCAAAGCCACTTTCTAAGGAGAGCTTTTTTGGATTCAGTGATTGATCTAATCCCAAGCCCATTTCTCGAAAGGAAGTTTTACCTGTTTCAAGCAACCAAGTGAAACCTCTTTTGCTTCTCAAAGTTGCACCAAAGAAAACAATGTTGGGTTTTTAGTCACACTAGCAGGGATGGCGAACAAAGAGAAGTAATAGGTAGGCAAGTTGGAGAGTGCACTCCTGATAAGAATGAGGTTGCCCCCATTAGAAAGGAATCCCCTCTTGCACCCCACAATTCTTCTCTAAAATCTAGTCACTGCTGGATCCCAAGCAGAAGTATATTTGAACTTAGTTCGAAGAGGGAACCTCAAATATTTTAAGCAGAGACTGAAACCTTACGCCTTAAAACCCAGCTAAAGACTCAGTATCCTGCCCCTCCCCTAAAAAGACCAATTCAGAATTTGCGAAGTTAATCCTGAGCAGTAAGACAGCTCGGAAGCAAAGGAGAATGCATCTAATATTAACTGACGCCTTAGAATTTTTGGTTTGCAATATATTTGGCAGTTTTGTTGTTTTCATATTTGGCTCTTTTTTTTATGAAAGTATGTCTAGGTACTGAGCTTGTAGTAGGTATAGTTAATTATATCTAGAAGACTGGAACCTTTAAGTGGATCAGTGGGTTCACAAGCCTTGCAATTGAAGAACTAGGACCTTGTAACTTTAAATCCAGCTGTAGGTGACACAATATTAGCTACTTGAGAAGTGCCTTCGCATAGCAACTTCCACCAAAAACTATGAAATTATAGGGAGTACCTGTAGTCTCTATTTTAGATAAAGGGAAATGGGGGAACAGGGAGGCATAGAGGTAAAGGGAGACTGAGAATCTGTAAGGAAGAGAGAAGGAAGAAAGACAATAAAAGCAAAGGGGAAAGAACAGTAAAAAAGATTGAGGGAGAATGGTGAAAGAGCCTTAAAAGAGATGGAAGGAGGAGGGAAGGGAAGAAGCGGCAAAAGAAATGGAGGGAGAGAGATGGAAAATATAGATAATTTCAAAAGTTGGTGTAGGTAGTTTTTTTTTAATTGGGTGAAGTTTGAACGCACAGGCTCTTTTGGTCTTTAGTTTTGGCCTTGAGAGGGGGAGAGGATAATCTACTGAGGAGAGAGCCAAAAAAAATTTAGATAGTGGGAATCCAAATTAAATTGGTCCCAGGACTTTCTATTCTTTCTCAACAGTTGCATTCAGGTAGAACTTTTCTTTTAAATTGTTTGAACTTACAGGTTTTTTTAATCTTTAGTTTTGTGTCCCAGATGCGTAGTGAAATCACCTTCTCCAACCTATGGGACTTAGGGGTGTAGTTTAATTTACCCTTATCCTAGACACCTTCCAACTGTAGTGTAGAATTGGTAGTTTACATGGTGGATTTGGAGGAGAGGCTGTCTTGACATTGAAAATTAACTGTAATCTCTATTTTAGATAAGGGGGAAGAGAAAAAAAAATAAAGTTAGATAATGATGAAATGTTCTCACAGGATTTCACATTCCATTTCAACAGTTGGAGTTTGGTAGAATTTTCATTTTAAGTTGTTTGAATTTACAAGTTCTTTGAATTTAGTTTTAAATCCAGGCAATTTAGTGAAATCACCTTCCCAATCTATAGTATTTAAATGTAATGTATCCCAGTTGTAAGCACCTTCCAGTCTGTCGCAGTTGAATGAAATTTTATCACAAGTTTAAGCAGCTTTCTTTTCTTGGTTTTTTATTCTTGTTTGTTCCTGTTTCCACCTTTATTTCCTTTTAAGTCTTAGTATATTTTTGCATCATATAAAGAATTTTCTGTTGAAGAATATGCCTCTCGTAAAAAGGGATTTGATGAAATTGTAAATTGACTGCCTAAATCCCTTTCCATATGTCATCTTGTGTAAACTTTGGTACAAACTTATTTTGTCCTGTCATTTAATTGGGGATTGATTTCTAGGTTGCACAGTTATATTTATAAAGGAACTTATTTTAGATTGTCATTTTTATGTAATTTACTACCTTTTCTTCTCATTACTCAACACAGTCTCTTAATCAAATTTCTCTAGGTTTAGCCCAGAAGCTCTAAACTGGTTGTTTGTCAAGGGGTTGCTTGGCTGGTTCATGCAGGTCTCCCTGCTGAAAGTAACATTGCTCTCACTGGGTAGTGGAGAGGCACCTTTGCTGGACATCGTCGCATATGCAGGCTATACTTTCACGGGAATGTGTATAGCTGTCCTCGGGAGGATCCTATTGAAATACTCGTACTATTTCTTGATGCCATGGACCTGCTTATGCATGGGAATTTTCTTAGTGAAGACAATGAAGAGGGTCCTCTTTGCAGAAGTACGGAGTTATGATTCGAGCAAGCACCATTATCTCCTGCTCTTTATTGCTCTGGCTCAGTTTCCTCTTTTCATGTGGCTTGGCAACATTACTGTTAACTGGCTGTTTTAAACTGCTTCCATGTATTTGTAGTGATAAACAATTCTGTTGTTTATAGCAGCTTTTTGGAATCATTGCAGGCAATTGAGTGATAGTTGATTTTCTAGATCTTGGCCGATTATTTTATTTGTTATTTTCCAGTGAAACGTCCCCCTTTCACTCCGACTTCTAAATGGAGTTTCTTTGAATGTTTTTAACTTCTCAATGTGGAGAGCCTCTTGATACTGAAAGTTCCTTGGAAGACACCACCGTATTTGATGCAAATTCTTGACTGTATATGTATACACTGATTTGTAGCCCAAACACTGATTTATAGCCGAATTTAACTCGGTGTTTAGATGAATTGAACTCGAGTTATTGATGGTGGAGGTTTTATACATATTTCAGAAATTGTGTTTGTCTTAATCAAATTCTTTTAATGTAGAATTTGCGTGTGAAGGTATCAGGGTGGTAAGAAATTATAAGTACTTGAATTTGATCTTTCTTAATATTGTCATCTTGGGGCTGAATTCTCTTGAATTCATATCATCAAAGTCGGTTTACAGGCGAGCTGGTTCTTAGTTGCATCTATCAATGTCACCAGAAATATCAGCAGATAAGTTGAAATTTCCCTTCAATTTAACTTCAGAAACATAGTAATGCTAACATAACAGTATTTGGAAATAAGTGTATGTCCTATGCACTTATAGATGCGTATATATACTTGAAGAGTATAAAGGTATAATTATTGACTTAATCAGCACATTTCATATTTCTCTCTTTTTTTTTTTATATCAGCGGTAGCCAAGATCTGGGACAATGAAGTGCTCTTCTTCGTCTGGGATTTCAATCCTCGGCTTCTTGTGAGACATATTTGATTTCATGGGTCTGTATGAGTTGACATTGCTTGTATGTGCCTCGGGAAGTTGGGGAACTTCGGCTGCTGGTAAGGCCTCTTGAGGAAATTGCTCGCCAAAGAGACCAATGTCTGCTAGCCATTCGAGCTCCCCTAGCTCAAGGTGCTCTTTCTACATTAAGGAAAAAGAGGACAGCTTCAGAAAGATGCATAAATTCAAAAAGCAAGCTTTATCGAGAACAGGCACTTCAGTTTGACATTATTGAAGTCCAAGGAACAAACTTGAGTGTTCCTATCTAAATCAAGTGATCTACCTGATTCATTTATATTCTTCTCCTTTAGAAAGACAACTTTGAACTGCGAACCGAACTCACATAAATTCCATGGAGCCTTGCTGTGTTTTTTTCGTTCTATTTACTTGTTACACCAGTTTGCATTTTATAATATTCCATGAAGATCATAGATAAGATTCCTTGTATCATTTAATTGCATGTTGTTCTACTTGGTTTCACAAGCCCTATCCAATTTCAGGATCTATAACTCTTCGGAAAACTCTTGAGTCAAAATTCCGTTCTTCAGCTAATCTTGTAGAGCTGTACTAGTACAATCTATTTGGATCCTATACATGGCTGTTTGCTAGGTAGTCTTCCTACAGGACAGGTTATGATGATTACTGATCGTGCAGAAGATTTTCAATGAATAGACAAAACATAACTTGACAAAACTTTTTACGCTAAAGAAAAATCTTTGCAAGTTTTCCGCTGAGCTAGTAGAACCCTATGGAAGAGGAGTCAGGAGACAGATTATAGACGGCTGTTTGCTGAAGCTATTTACTGAAGCAGGGAACCAAAAGGCAGTTCTGTTTTTGCAAGACACTTCTTGCACAATCAAGCTTTTAGGCATTTGAAGCAAGTTTAGGGTGAGGCTGGGTGCGGCTGGTTCTAAATAACAAAGGGAAATTCTAGCCCTTGTCCCACTTCGGATTTTGTGGATGGTTTAGAGAGAAAGAAATCGGAGGAAAGTTTCTTACTTCCGAAAAGTTCAGGATTTTTGGCTGGGTTGAGTTTTTGGTCATCTTTTGTCGAAAAGATGAGGATCTCTTAGATCTTACAGATATTTTGATTTTTAAATAGCTAACACTCTGTTTTCTATCAAAGAAGTCTTAAAACAAGTTAAAAGAAGACTAGTAAAAGAATCAGTTATTCCCCCCTTTATTAAATTTTCTGATCATTACAATTAAAAATTATAAGCTCCTCAGGTGATTCATTTACCAAGTCATCAATTCCAGTAACATTGTTCGACACAATCGACACGTTAATAAATATGACTACTATACTCAATCAAGTTATATATATATATATACTATTCTCACCTTGTCCGTAGACTCAACATCAGAGAAGTGTAAGAAATCGTCAACAGCCCATGGAGATGAGAAGTTTGATGAATGCTGCGTGAGCTGTTTCATTGGAGTTTTCTGTGCATTAGGTTTGGGTGGCTCCGACCGACTCTTCTCTGCATCCTTAGTGCAACTAGAGCTTAAAGCCACTCGAATCCCAGTGGCCAGAAATCGCTGATGGTTCGCAGAAAGGCTACCAGCCGAGTGGATAGGTTCATCGCAATCACGACAAAAAAGAGCTCTGTCTTCAACACAGAAGATGAAAGCTGTTTTCTCCTGTCCATCAAATAAAGGAAAGAGAAATAAGAAACCAGGACCTATCAATTACTGAAGTCAAATTAAACACCATTCTTGAAATGAATAGGAACAGCATGATTACGTTTGTTTCTATAATGATGTATGTTGGTGTCCATATAAATGGGCTTTATTGATCATACCAGAGAACGCCTGCAACCGAAAGGACTTCTAGAAATGGCATAAACAAGTTCACTGAAAATTTCTAGTAGGAAAAACAAGTTCATCCCATAGTTTTTTGGGAAAAAATTAGCTTTTATAATAAATAATTCAGCTTTTGAGAATCAGTTGATTGGAGAATCAAAATCTAATCTTTTGAAACCATTAGCAACGGATCTAGACCCCACTTCACAAACCCATTTTCATGGACATACCTGATTATTCCTTCACCTTTTCTCGGTAACAAACAGACAATTAAAAACAAATTGAATAAAATAATATAAACTACTAGATTCCTATAATTTTTTATTCTACAAATAAGCCAAAAAGTTCAGAAACCATATATGATGAACAGATCAATCAAGAAAACCCTTTCTGAAAGCAGGAAAAAAAGAAGTTAACTTAATCAACTATCCAAAAAAATATCAATCAATACCAGCAAAGTTCAAAAGGGAAAAGGAAACCAGAATTTACCTGGCAGATATCACATGGAGGAAGCTTGTTTGAGAGACACTGAAGAAGAAGCCTCTGATGCTTATTTGCGAGTTTGTTAGCTGCATGAACTTCAATATCACATTTTGCACAGAGCGCCGCCTCATCCGCACAGCAAATAACAGTTGCTGGAGCTCTCTCACATACATCACATTGAATTTTCATTTTCCTAACTCTGATATTTTTCCCTCTTATCTCTGAGATCTTGTACTAGGGTTAGATAAAGATTCTTTTTTTAAGGTGTTTGTTAGATTTGGAAGATGACCCACATCAAAAACCTGATTGCTAGAGAGAGAGAGAGAGAGAGAGAGAGAGAGAGGATTCAAGTTTCAGGAGATACCCACATGAGAAACAATTATTGGTGAAGAGATACACATGGTTGAAAATAATGATGGTAGGCAAAGTAACAAACTTTCTAGCAAAGGAAAATGAAGGAAACACCAAAGTTGGTTCTTGAAATGTCCTTTTCCTGGGAAAGCAAGTAGAACACTTTACTAGAAACGTTGAGATGAAACAAAGGGAGTAGGGGAGAAACAGTTAGGTGGGAAGAAAGAAGAAGAAAATGGAAGAGAAAGTGTGAGAAAATATAATGGGAAAGGAAAAGAAAGAAGAAGAAGAAGAAGAAGAAGAAGACTGTAGAGGTGTTGAAAATGGAGTTGAATGTAAGCAAGCTAAGAATCTGTGGGAAGATAGGAAATTGAAAGGGTGTGGTGGAGAAGAGAGATAAGGAATTGGGATTTTGCAAATCAAAAGCAAGAAATTAGCTGTGCACAACAAAGCATTGAAGGGCCAGTTGGGTTTGTGTGGTTGTGTATTTTTATGACAAAATTTTTTGTTGTTTGAAAAAAAAAAAAAAAAAGACTTTGTGAAGTGTGAACAAATCATATTCCTCCATTATTTTATTTTGGATTATATATATATTTTTATAAAAATATATCATAAAATAAATTAATAATTTTGTTGGATTTTAGGGTGATTTAGTGGGAATTCACATTATATCTTAAACATGTGGTTTCAATTGGAATTTTCTTATTTAATTTTCAAGTGGGTTGAGAGGAAAATATGTATAAAATAATTTTTTTTTTTACTAATATAATATACAAAATTTTACATTTATATTGTTATTACTAAATAATTTTACCATATTTTAATGGGTTATTATAAAAAAAATTTCATCATTAAATAAATACTTTTTAGTGTGTGTATATATATATATATATATTTAAGAACATCTCACTCTATATTACTATGACTATAGAAAAAGTAAAAGTTTCTATAGAATTTATTAAGAAATCTATAAATCAATTCAATTGGGAGAGTATGAAAATTTCTATAAAACTTATATATAATCTTATAAAAATTTTATGTGAAATTAAAATAATATCTTCTAAATTTTTTAAAAAATTTAAAATTTAGATTTAATTTCACATGAAATTCTATAAGAGATTATTAATTTTACCATTTTTTATATAAAAAAAAATAAAAAATCTAAGCGAATTTTTTGAAGAATTTCACAATATTTTTCTTACTTAGAAAATATTCCATACTTAAATCACTTTTTTTTATCTTAATAAAATCCCAAAATATCCTCCCATTCTATCTGTTCATGTTAACAAGTGTTCATTTTATCCGCACATATACATACATTTGACCTCTCTCTCTCTCTCTCTCTCTCTCTCTCTCTCTCTCTCTCTCTCTATATATATATATATATATATATACATATATACGTGTTTTTCTGAGTACATATACATATATAGAAACTTGGCTATATTTGTGAAAAGACAATGTCAAATTCTTCCCACAGAAAAGACATTACAAAAATCCAACGATCAACCACATTTCTCTCTTCTTCCTCCCCACCATATATACATACACCCACAAAACCCTTATATATTCATACGCCAACAAACCCATTATATATACATACACCCACGAGACGAACAGACTACACCCATAATAACCGTAATCTTCAAACACAGAAAACCCAAGTTAAGAAACAAAAAGAAGAAGGAAAAGATCGATCATGGCGGCAGAGAAGACGATGAGATCGGTCGTACTGGTTCGATTTCTCGCAGCGGTTATGGTGATTTCATTAATGGCGGGGAGTGTGCAAAGAGTGTGTGCAATTGAAAATCTGCACGCTTCAACAGACGGCCATAGCAATGGACATGACGTGGAGCAAGACTGGGAAGATTTGGAGTTCAAGATTTCTGCAACTGATAGGGTTGCTCTTCCCCATTGCTGCAATGAGCTTATCCAGACTTGCTGCCTAACTTAATTAATTAATGAATTAATTAAAGATTAAGGGAAAAGGGAGAAGGAGTTAATTACTTAATTAATGTTTCATTTTTTAATTAATTTCTTTATTGTATTTTATTTATATATATATATAAATGTATTTACACAATGTTGTCATAATGGTATTGAATTGAAAAGTCTAGGTCTAGGGTCTAGGCTTTAATTAATGGTTATAAATAATTAGAATAATTAATCCTCTTTATTGTATATATATATATATTTATATATATTTTTGTTATTGGGTTTAATTGATTTTTTAATTATATATTTAGTTAATCATTAAAATATTTTTCTTAAATTTTTAGGTATTTCAATAGAATATAAATATTTCTTAAGTTTGAGACAAATTTTTTTATCTACATTAATTTTTTAATTTGCAAATCATATATAATATTTTAATATTTCAACATTTTAAATAATTTTTTATATGGGTTTAGATTCTTTTTTTAAAAAATTTAGATAAAAAGTATAAAATTAATTAAAAAAATTATAATTGAAATATAAGAACCTAACACCTTATTATTTTTTAAAATAAAATGACAAAAAAATTGAATGTTCATCACCATAAAAATATATATAATTTAAATAAAATCAAAATGAAACTATAATTTTTCTATAAAAAAATTAATATTTAATTGTTGGGTGATTGATTGAGAGTGGAAATTATTATTATTATTATTATTATTATAGAGAATTAATTTGTGACCACAAAAAAAATTGTCATTATTAATTATATGTACAAGTATGTGAGAGACTTTGAAGTTTGCATTTTAATGTCATTTCAATGACTTGCAAAACATCCTTGTCTCCTTACAACAATATATATATATATATATATATACACATACATATATATATACACACACATATGTATATATATATTTTGTTAGTAATATTTTTTATGGTGGTTTTATTTGTTTCAATGATTAAGAACTATAGAACCAATGAAATTGTGGCATTTAATTATGGTGTTTTCTAGTTTCTTCTATTTTTATTTTTAATAAAATCTTATTTAGAATTTCAACTTCGTTATTTTCACTTTTTTATAAAAATTATTTTCATTTATTAAATTTATAGTAGAATATTCATTCAAATTGGAATAATTTAATTTAATTTAAATATTTTATAATAATTTAATTCTTATGTGGATAAAGAATGAGACTAATAAATTTTTAAAAATTTATATTTAAGTTAATAGGTTCATGATTGTACAATTATTGTAAAATATGCATGTTCAAATATTATATCTCCAACATTTTTTAAGAGTTATATTACCAATTTTTTAAAATTTAAACTTAAATTATTAGTATCTTTATTTTTAACTATACAGAATTCAATGATCACATATTTTTTTTATATAAATCGGGGCGTTGCATATTATATAAGTTTAACAAATTTAGCACTAATAAATGATAGTTTTATTTGTCATTTTCGATAACTTGTTTTGAAGGGACCTTATTCGAATAATTATTTAAATTTTAATATTTTCGTAAATTTATAATTGTAGACTCAGTCAAAAAATATTACTTATAATTCAAACTAAATATTTTACACGATATATATTTTAATACAATAACACTAATATAACTAATCATACCACTATTTTATGATATGATCTGTATCGTTTAAGATAAATCATTTAATTTGAAAATAAACAAAAAAAAATTTCATTTTAAATCAAATTAAAATTGTTTTTAATATGAAAAATTGTATCTTATAAGGACAAATCTATTTTACATGCTTCTTTTTGCCACCCTAAAACACATGCCTAGTTACAACTTGTATTTGTGAGAAACTTAGAAAAAAAAAATATATATATATATATGTATATATCCATTTTTATTAACATTATTTAGATTCTAAAATCTCAAATTATACACCAAATTATGTGTTCTCTCCAATATTGTATATAATCAAATAAAAGAGATTTTCTTTAATATTTCTTTTTTAAATTAGTAAAATATTTTATACTTACTGTAACTAAAAATGATAAACTTGATTTGAATTTCAAACCTCTAATTCTGAACCTTTGTTTGGATGTTTCTTCGCGAACATCATAACCAACTTTTATGGCAATACGACGAAATTTTTTCGTAGACTTCTTTAAAATTTCTTTGAATCCATGTTGATCTTGTTTCGTAAGATGATAACTAGCCAGAAATGCATGTCTTGCTTGCCAATATTCGGGAGCGCGACGATCACCGTCAATGCAGTCGTAATCAAAACTCGAATCAGAAAATTCTTTACGAGTCATATTATCCGACAAACTCGGGATGATACTCGGATCGATTTCCTTATTTGGGTACGAAGCAAGTGGTTAAGTTGAAAGGAAATTTGAGATGTAGAGATACAGCATGAAAAGGGTTACATGTAAGGCTGCTATTTTGTATTTGTATGTATGTGCTTGTGCTGTATATATTGAAGGATTACTTGAGACCATTTTGGCTTTTTGTTGGAAGATAAGGTAGTGGTTCAACCATATTAGATATAAAGTGTTGAAAGGTTTGGTAAAAGATGGCTGCAACTAAATAATAGTAATAATAATTAATTTTGGATTTTTAAAATTTTAATTTATCTTTTTATATTATACAAAATATGATATAATATACAGAAATAACTATCAAAATTATTCTCAAATTTTATATAATTAATTAATTATTTATTTATTACTAATAGTTTAATTTTCTATGAAGAATTTGTGTATATATATATATTTTTTTAATGAAGAATTCAAAATAAAAAAAATATGTAAATCTAAATCTTCATAATCAGAAATTATATTTAAGACCAGTTTGTAATTAATTATAATAAAATGAAATTTATTATATATTTGGGCATTATATATAATTTACTATGAGTTTTAAAAATGAGTTATGAGTAAAAAAAAAAAAAAAAAAGTCAATGGACCAAAATGCAAGATTCCTAAACTCAGTGGGCTTCAATTGGAATAGTCTAAAAAGCCCACGACTACTTGGAATTGTAGTTTGGGAGTAAATTGGAAAATGTTGAAAAATACATAATTAAAATTGGGCCAAAGTTGTAAATTAGAAATTGATTGGGGGTCATATTGAAATTAAATAGAGAAATATTTAGTATTTATAAATTTAAAGTTAAAAGGAGAAATATAAAGGGTATTTTAGTAAATTAATAATATGCATTTTTTTCCGTTATCACGGCGAATAAAGTAATTAAGGACAATAAAATCCATTTTCTGTACTTTTTTTTATTTAGGCATTTCCATTATTCGTCTACCGGTGAAGAAGAACCCAGAAAATCTAGGAGGGAGGGCAACAAGGGACTCGAGTCGTTCTCTTGAAGCTAATGGTGATGGAGTAAGATCTTCTCTTTTGCTGTGTATAAATCCCCAAATCAGTTATGACCATTTGATATCTGAAAACCCTAATTAAGCTCTTTTACTTACCCATTGTATGTTATCGTGCCTGAAACAAGAATCTGAATGCATTTCTTTTCACTTGGAGCTGTTTTTAATTGCTCTTAAGAACGGAAAAGTGTACATCTCTTACTGATTCTCGAGAATCGCTGTTATAGGATTCGTGTGGATTGTTTCCTTACATGGTTGGCTGACTGGAACTTTACGTTTTGGAGGGGCTTCCTTGGTTTACTCAAGTAAACCTGTAAGGAAACTAGGGGTTAGGATCTCTTCTGATTTGAAGTTGGAAGTTGTTTGTGTATCAAATTTGGTATTGCAGAGTAAGAGTAGTGTGATTTCTTTATGGATTTATTTTATTTCTAGAACTTCTGGTCCTGGTTTTTGGTGGAGTTAGATTGGGACATTCAGTTAGAGGGAGGAAAGTTCAAGGTGTGATTATAGATGGGTAGGCCATTGTTTTATGAGATCCTCGAAAAACCAGCTACGAGTTGTTTTATAGGAATATGCACTGCAATATGGTTTATTATACAGAAGAAAAACATTGGGTATTCACACGTGGGTTTGAGTTATGAAACTGCTGTTGAAGGGCACCATTGGAGGATAATTACGTCTGCTTTCTCGCATATAAGTGTCTTGCATCTTGTGTTCAATATGAGTGCACTTTGGAGTCTTGGCATTGTGGAGCAACTGGGGCGTATGGGTATGGGAGTGGCATATTATCTTCACTACACGCTTGTGTTGATTGTATTATCAGGAGTGCTGGTTCTGGGGATGTACCATTTGTTGGTACAGAGATTTAAGCTTGAGTATTTCAGGAGAGTGACAGCTGTTGGGTACTCTTGCGTTGTGTTTGGATGGATGACGATTCTATCTGTGAAGCAGCCCTCTTCAAAGTTGGAGCTTTTTGGGTTTCTTTCACTTCCAATCAGTTTTGCACCTTTTGAGTCGCTTATTTTTACTTCAATTATTGTTCCACAAGCAAGCTTTCTTGGGCATTTATCGGGAATTATTGTTGGCTATTCTGTAGCTTGGGGTTTGATTCATGGGATGAATAATTTCTGGGCACTTACTATGTTGGGATGGATTGTTGTGATTTTTGTGTTCAGTTTGAAAAGATCTGGTGCATATGATTTCAACTTTCTTGAGATTGAATCTGTGACTGATCCTTCCTTTCCTTCTATACGGTTTATTGGGAATAGCCGCAGCCTGCAGATGAGTATGATCCCAGTTGAAGGTGCAGAACTGGTCTAATTTCTGGTCATGATCCTCCCACAATTGGACGCAAGAATGCTGACCTGCAATTTGAGGGCTCTTATTAACAATCCTGCATGATTTTGTTAAGGCAAACTAGAAAGTTAGATTCACAATTGCCAAAGTGTTTCAGGTTTGTTGGTGCCTTTTCATGTGGTAAAAATATCTTTAGCTGCAGTATTTCGGGCTTGCTAGCCAGGTGTCTACATGTCTTTGCTGCATCGTGAGGTTTACGAGGTTACAGAATGTAATTACTCACCCATGCATATTTATTTGAAGGGAGGGCATTTTCTCCTCTGATGTTCTTTGTATTTCTGATAATTTGCTTTTTTTATTACACCGTCCCATGATTTAAAGAAATAGTAAACAATGAATTCTTTCACAATTCTGAATGTGTAAGATTGCTGTGTTGATTACTGAATAGTTAAAGATTATGGGTTATGTTATTTTTGAACTACGGTTCAAGAGTTGCAGCTGTGATTTATCAAATCTACTTAAATAGTATAACATCCATGAACTATCCGAGGATAAAGTTGGCTGTGTTGAATCACTCGAGATTACTTTTGCAGCTTCTTGTATGCATTTGCTTTGTATCATGAGGATATTGGCTGTTGTCACGGACTGTTAATGGCCCGAGGGTTGATTAATGAACGACAAACAGTTGTGAGTGAATAAATTAGGTTATGGTGCATATGAAGTTTGGGATTTGATCATAGTTTTGTAGCTAGTCTTCTGGGTCGATCAACAAATAGAGAAAGGGGTTTAGATTGAAGATCAGACTGTTTACGTTTCCATCTGGACCGGATCTGACTGGACTTTTTGGTCTTTTTTTACCCGAACTGAGGTCTAGATTCCCATTCAGACTAGAAAAAGAACACCCTTAGATAAAAGATCGATATTGAGCATGGCCTTGTCCGAGGAAAGAATCCTAGTGTAGGAATATAGCTTGACTCAAAGGATGATGTAGTTTACATCGCTCCTTCTCAGATGCATTCAAGAATATAGCTAGACTCAAGGATGGTGTAGCTTACATCGCTCCTTCTCTCGAAGCATTCAAGTCTTTCAGTCTTTGAAATGATCGTAACCGGTATCCGGAGAATAACATAAAATTTTTCAAAATTTTCAGGAAGCATAATCTTGTAAAGCATACATGCTACACAGCCACTTACATTTTGGAGAGATGCATATTGTATTTATGTCAGGGGTGAAGCAAAATTAACAAAAAGATGGAGCACTGCAAAAAATGTTAGTAATGTAAATTGAAAATTCAAGTAAGATATTCATTTATCAGAATTTTATTATGTTAAAAAGACATTTTATTTGGGAAAAAAATAAAATGTATTTTTATAAGAGAATTTTTTTTTATTAAAAAAATTATAACCAATATGATATAAAAAATATCTTATAAACAAACAAATAGAATTTAAATTTAGGATTAAAATTAAAAAAAAAAAAAATTACAGTTGACAGAAATTACAGCGTCTGATACGTGCATACATGCACGTCTTATCCTGTTACATTACAAAAATGGCAAATACAGTTTTATGAAGCTTGAACGAGTGAAATTACCGAAATACCCCCGCGTAGGCATCTAATTTGCTGCTTTAATCGGTCAAAGTCAACCATGTAAACAGAAACAGGGAGAGGAAGGGGAGAGGGGGGGAAAGGTTCTTTTCTTCACCGGCTACCGGATTGGCAGGTGACGTTTCCTTCGCGAGTTAACACTCTCCTTTTTCGTCATTAGCTTCCAAGAAATGGAATAAACTGGAGGTTAATTACGTCTAGAGCAAGAAAATTCGAGCTAAGGTTTCCTCCAGGAAAACGAACAAGTTTAGGCTGTACGAAGAACCCTAATTTGTGATTTTGGGGATCCGTTAATTAGGGTTTCTGAGGGGAGTTTAGTTCCTCAGAAAACCTTTTTCTTTTTCTTGCCCGCAACTGGAGGTAAATAGCTCGTCATCTTTGTTTCAATTGATGTACAAACGATATCTAAATTTCTGTTGTTCTTGTTTGGCTTTTACTTCCTTGGTTTTAGGGTTTGGGTGTGGTTACCTCTCTTAAGGTCTATAATTGTAGCCGTTGATATTTGATATTGCCTGCAAATTGTCTCCGGGTCTGTTCATGTGAAATTTATGTGTTGCATCTTGGATGCTGGGTTCTCTTTTTTTTTTTTCTTTGTTTTTATACATCCAGTTGTGTTTGTAAATACTTGTTTCCTGCTGAAACAGAGGGAATGGAGTTTCATGATGTAGGAATTTGGGTTTTTCGTTTGTCACTAGTGCATAAGGATGGTTGAACTTTCTAGTTTTAGTCTGCTTTTCTGCTGGAAGAATGGATTGTTCTGTTATTGTGTAATGGAGGAAACTTTGAATCTGTGCCCGTGTTCCCATTATGATACCCGAAGTTAATATTATGAAGGAACTTAATGTAGTACACGAGAAGCTTCCCATATTTAGATAACAATTCCAGCCTAATTAGTCTTTTGGATGGGAAGGGCTGGTTTTGCATTTGCATCTAAGGTATCCTTTGAAATGTGCGAAAACCTACTCTTTAGTATCATAAATTCCAGCTAGACATACTTTAATGTTGGATGGGCAAGTAGGTTTGAGATTTCTTGATAGTTCTTGGGTGCAAATTCTACGAGTTAACTGTTGTCATGATCGGCAAGGATTATCACCATTTGACCACAAAAGAATTAGCAAGTCATACATATGTCTATTAGACAATATCTTCAGCTTGGAGGTTCCTTATTGTATCAGCTGAGAGCGGATAAGCTCAAATTGTTTTGCTTCATTTGTTACTATAAACCAAGGTTAGTTTATTTGTCTTGTTTCAAGGACCCTGAGCATATTCAAGACTTTGTTATGACAAATTCTATTTTATTTTTCCTTTTTCCATGTTATCTCATGTAGAATTTTTCTTAGTGTCAAGACTGATATTGGCAGCAAGAAAACTCTCTTGAGTGAAAAATTGATACAGTCAAGAGACTGTAAGGGGTAGACTTGTTTTTCAAATGAAGGTATTTGCTCATTACATTTCCAATTTTTTGAGGGCATGCGTATTACCTTAATGGTTGCTGGACGATGATGTTTTCTCTTCGTTTCGTTGTTCTGTTATTATCACTATCTTGATTGCTAGGGGTGCATGTTCGTGAGTAGGGTATAGGTCAATATGTCGATTATCGGCCAAGGGAGAAAGGATTTAGTGGTAAAATTGTATAGATCTCTCTTTCTGTTTTGTGTATTTATTCTGATGATATTTATACCAAACAGGTGTTCACATGGCTAGTGTTGTTGGCAAAGATGGTCCTGAGTGGATAGAGAGAGTAAAATCAGAGGGTGCTGTTCCTCTACTTGAACCAGATAATTGTTCAAATGGTTGGGCCACCCCTTCTGGAGATAAATTCATGGTTAGAGGGCCTGAGTACCTGTCAACCAAGGTTAAAATCCCTGGCGGTGAATATCTTCTAAAGCCTCTTGGATTTGACTGGATTAAAGGCCCCACAAAGCTTGGGGAGATTCTAAACGATCCAAACAGCCGTGTTAGGAAGGTTATTGATGAGTTCCCTTCAGGTGATAAGCCTTTTGTCTGGGCTTTCAATCTTCAGGTCCCGCATAAGGATAATTATAGTGCTGTAGCTTATTTCATAGCAACAGAGCCAATTCCAGAAGGGTCTTTGATGGATCGATTTTTGAAAGGAGATGATGCATTTAGAAAGTCAAGGCTCAAATTGATCGCCAACATTGTGAAAGGCCCTTGGATTGTGAGAAAAGCAGTTGGAGAGCAGGCTATATGCATAATTGGCCGTGCCCTTTCATGTAAATATATCATAGGGGAAAATTTCATTGAAGTTGATGTGGATATTGGTTCTTCTGTTGTTGCTAGTGCAATAGTCCATCTGGCATTTGGTTACATCACAACACTGACAGTTGACTTGGCTTTTCTTATTGAGAGCCAAACAGAACAAGAGCTTCCTGAACGACTCTTAGGAGCTGTGAGGTTTTCTGATTTGAGCCCTGATTCAGCTTGGCCCATTGAATCATCATCTGATGCAAGTACCGCTGGTTCGGCCTCTCTGCCTGCACGCTGGTGGAAATCAATTGGACATGGGTTTTCTAGTCTTCTCCTTCAGGGTGCACATGAAAGTGGTTCTACCACTGGGTCTTCCCATGTTAATGGAATTTCTGACCATGGAGATGGTGACGAAGATGTGAAAAAATGGTAAGTATTGCATAGTGTAATTGTGTTGGGATTTCTAATTCGTACATTTCAGCTGCTAGGAAGAAGTACGCTTGTAGTTCTTCAATACTCTGATTGTTCCTGTTATCAGCACGGAGATTGCTACAAAGTTTATGACTGCTAGACACCCTTCAACTTCTAGGTGAATAAGCAGTTGTTTTGGAGAACTTAACTGTATACCCTGTATCTACTTCATAACTCGCTAGTCTTCTTTTTAGGTTCATCTCAATGTTTCATTTTGAAAAAAGCAAAATGATGCAGCTTCATTACCCACAACTCGCTCTGCAGATGGTCTTTAAGTTTTGCTTCTTACT